CACTCTACAAGAAATGTTTCCCAATACTCTCCAGATAAACATAAATTCAAGTGTGGTTTCTGTACTCTTCAAAGTTTAAATTCTTGACTAACTACTTCAGGTGAAAGAAACCAAACCACTTCTAACATTACATGGAGACATTTTTTTTTTTGGCCATATCTCGAAGTGGAAATTATTTGATATGAGGAAAGCCTACACTGGACCCTATCTGTTCTATTTTTTACCCAACTTAGAAATTGAAAGCTTATAGAACGTTAGCACCAAAAACCTACAGACCTGCATAGTGCATTGTTAACTGCCCGGAAGGACTTTGTGACTTTACCAAAATGACAAGAGGAACTGATGGAAAACTCCTAAAATCCCACAGTTCTCTTTCCAAACCCAGAGTGGAAAGACAAAGTAAGATCCAATATCTCTACCAAAATGAAAATCCATTTGAAGTGACATAAACCTTCATCTGTGTAATGGAATATAGGATTTGCTAATAGCCAATCTGTGTGAACATAAGTCAGTAGACGATGGCATTTTTTAAGTAACATAATCACATCATCTAGTAACTCAGTCTACTCATTAGGGAGGAGTGCAGTAAGAGGGAAGTGCTCTCAGCAGTATGCTAAAGAGATAATTTTCAGAAACTATCAAGCCACTTAATTCACATGTTCGCAGTTATTTTCAAGTAATTCTTAAAAGGGGGAAAAAAAGATGTTACAGACCCCTGAATGCCCTGCAGCATGGTTTTACTGAACATTCAAATCTAGATAATTTATTAACATATTCTACTAGTTCTTTTACTTACTAATATACCTATTTCCCCTCAATATTAGAGCATCCTTTTCAGATGTTAATGCACAGTCCATTTCCTCTAGGTAGATTACCTTCTGCTTTTGAATGTCCTGGGATATTATAAAGTCTAGAACTAGAAGAAACTACAGAAATACTCCTGCTCCAAGTTTCTCAAGGTAGGGTACATATACTGGGGGGAGCTCCAAGCACCCCAGAGAAAACAAAGTACATCTTCCTCAAGTACTTTTTAACCCAGACAGCAATTTAAAACAAAATGAAGTTGGCATACACCTGTAATCCCAGCACTTTGGGAGACTGAGGCCAAGTCTCAAATCCCAAATCCCAGCACTTTGGGAGGATCTTGAGGCCAAGAGTTCCGGATCAGCCTGAGTAATACAGGAAGGCAGAGGTGGTGGCATGTGCCTATAGCCTAGCCCAGGACTTAGGACTGGAGAGGAAGAGGTAGGAGGATCACATTAGCTGCAGTGAGCTACAATTGCACCACTGTACTCCAACCTGGGCAACAGAGTAAGACGCTTTCTCTAAAAAGAATTTTTTTTTAATTAAAAAAAATTTAAAGGTAAGAAAAAAAAATACCCAAATGAATCCTGCATTCTATTCTTCATCAAAGGAACCAGAGTTAACACTGAAAAGTTCAGGCTTGTGCTGGCAACATCGCATTGAGCTCCCAAATTGCCCTTTCCAGGGTTCCTTTGTCCTAAAGGTTATGGAGTAAGTTAAAGAAGCATTAATTTAAAAGGCTGTGAAGGGCCACCTGAGTCACTGACCTACGTTAGCCTTCATCACAGGGATTTACAGGCTTCTTAGAAAAGCTCCAGCCACTAAACAGGTGAGGCTGAAAGTAGTCCTTTCGGGAGTGCTGGAGGTGCAGTCCAAACAAGAATTGATAGAGCTCCCCTTCCACCCCACGCCACCCTCTTCCACCTCAGGTGCGCTATTAATGATCACATAATTCAATGAGTTTCTCAGTGAACAATACTACACAGCCTTCATAAAAGATGCACCTAAGCCTTTATTTAAGCAGCTATACATCATTTGGCATATGTAGCTCAGAGACATCCAGATTTGCACATATCCTCTGATTTACTGTCTCTTCGCTAAAACTCTGAACTTTTCAACACTGAAAGTGGTCTCCATTTGGATATACCTAAGAAGGCAAGTCAAAATAGGGAACATTTGTTCAGAAAGAAGAGAAAAAAAGAGGGGTGAGGAATCAGAAAGCCCATTCAATAATGTATCTCCGTCCAGCAGACACTAACCCAAAACTGTAAAATAAAATCTAAGAACCTACATGAGCCCTGAGGTTATGTGGAGACGGCCCTCACCTTAACATCTCTGTCTTCTATAAGGAGTATCCTTTTGTCCTCCCCCACAAAAAACACTGTGCATACTAAACACAGACAAGTTATATAGATAGCATCAATTTTCTAAACTAAGGGTCACAGAATTCCATATCTAAAGAAGCTGATGATTGTAACATTACCTCCAAGTTTATCAAACCTCCCAACTACAAAGCATTAAACTGCAGCAAACACGAAAGGCTTTACTGAATAGCTGCAATCTTCACTGATTTAATTTAAATGAAGTCTTCACCCGCCAATGCCAATCTCACTTGAGCTCTAAAAGAGAAGAAGAACTGTCCCTTGTAGGAGAAGTGGCCACCTGCCTGCTTCCCCTCCTTGCCTCTCTCATGAACTGTATGGTGCAACAGAACAATCCTGTCTAGAAAATGCCAACAGCTGATGGAGAAGAGAAAGCCCAAGGTCTGTTCTCTACCTTGCAAACACTTGGTCAAGATGAGGAGCCCAGACAGTTAGTTCAAGAACCATCTAACAATTACAGAGGCCTACTACATGCAAGGTCAGAGGCAGGAGCTCCGAATGCAATGACAGGCACGAGGTCCACTTCAGATGGCAAAACTTCAAGATTCTGTTAGTTTGGGGCCAGGTGCAGTGGCTCACCACCTATAATCCTAGCACTGTGGGAGGCCAAGGTAGGTGGATCCCTTGAGCTCAGGAGTTCCAGACCAATTGAGCAAGAATAAGACCCCATCTCTAAAAATAGCCGGGTGTTGTGGGAGTGCCTGTAGTCCCAGCCAGTCTGGAGGCTGAGACAAAAGGATCACTTGAGTCCAACAGTTTGAGGTCGCTATGAGCTATGACTCCACAGCACTCTACCAAGGGTGACAAAGTGAGACTATATAAAAAAAAAAAAAAAAAAAAGATGCTGTTAGTTTGGAAACCAAAGTTTAGGAACTCCTTTCAATGCATAATGCTCTACTATTTTCCAAGTCTTTTCTCATTATCCGATTTGACCTGTACAACAGACAGGTCAACAGACAGGTCTGTATTACAACAAACCTATAATAAGATGATTACTATTTTAATATGTGCTTTATTATCTCTGTCACAGCTCAAAAATCACAAACCTAATTGTGTTGGAATAAGACTTGAAAATCTCCTACGTCATTCAAGCAAACATCTACAACTACTTTCATTTAAAACACTGTCTCTTTAAACTTAATAAAAGTCCAATGAGGTTTGGGGGGTTTGCTGAGGAAGGGGTAATGAAGAGATAAATCCCAGAAAGGGGAGAGCCAGGTCAGAGAGGTTAAAACAAGGTTACACAGCCAATAGCCAGGCAGAGAGAGATTGGAATTTGGATTCAAGTTGCCCACCCCATAGCCAGCGATTTTAACTCACCAAAGAGAAGGAGCAGAGGCTATACAGCCAGTGGGGAGATACCTTCTACCAAGGGCCAGGAGGGAAAACTGGTCTCGGGGGCATCAAACAGGAAACAGCTGGTGCTGGGGCCAAGTTGAAACCCAACTCTTGCCAAACTCGCCACACTC